TTTCCAAGAATGATTGACTTGCCAGGATTGCATTCTTCTTTGAAGGCAGCGTCCCACTGGCTGAGATGCGGAGACGATGGGAACGTCATCGGTGGAACAGCATCGTCATTGGTGGAAGGGCGTCCAATGACCGCCCCTCGACCTGTTCCACCAATGGCAGTGCCTCTCCTCCGATAAGTGTCAATCTATCTCCGCCTCTTAGCCAGCGTGGCCGCTGCCTTTAAGGTCGAACCTTTGTCTTGAATTCTCCAACCAGACCACATCCAATCAGCACGAGGTTTCACAAAGAATTTCGAGTCCCTGCTTCCAAAGAGACCTCAATAGCGAGGAAAAGGTGTTCACTGTCAAAGATCTGCACTGATTACGGCGTCAGTGACCGTCAAAATTCAGAGGGTGCACATTTCTAGTCTGGAAATCTCCATCTGCCCGTCCGTCTCCTGCGTCGTTAGACTAACGCATTCTGTCTCTTTGCAATTCTCCGCCTCTCGCTCTCAATCGCTCTTTTTCTTTCTCAATCGCTCCGCTATCTTTATAGCAATCGCGCCCTCATAATGGTCAGTCATTCACTTTTATGGTATGGGAACGAGTCAGTCGACGATAAAAACAGAAATTACCCCGGCTGAATGCCCCATCACGTCGCACAATCACACAAAGCGATTGATATTTGGCGGAAATCTCGGGGTCTCTGGGCTATTTTGAGGGATAATTTGGCGTTTCTAAAAAACCTATGATTCAGGCTCGTTTCGCCGAAAAGTCCGGAGCGCTGGCGTTGGTCGTCGGTCCAGCGTCACGAATCCAACGTAATCGCAAACCCATGAAGGTATGATGACCATCTCACCCCCACTGGTATTACCGTACTCAGATGATTCGTTACAGATTCGTGCATCGAAGATTCCCGTGGTCGTTCTGGACGACCAAGAGACGCAGCGGCTGCGACAGCAACTGGCCGAGGCCGGTCAAGGAGCCGCCGTGGCTCACCTTCGACTCGACTTTATCGAGCCGAAGCCACCTCATGTACTCAAACTACAGGTAGGCGCTCTCAAAAGAAACTCAAGCAAACCATGAAGGGCTTTTAAATCTCAGCTCATCAAAATATTGCTTTTTGGCCTGCTTTTGGAGAGGGGGGTTCATTCCCAGATGTAGTTTTGCATCCAAGTTCACGTGCGAAATGTATGAAATTTTCCACAAGCATGCTGGGTATATGCAACAAAGCTTTCGCCCCATACAGGACTGAACGTGCCACCCGACAAGCGGTTACAAACAGAAAGCAAGTCAAAATTCATTGTTATCAAAGTATTTCTTGGCTAGACCTCCCACGCCCCAAATATTACTTGACCTAATGTTATTAGTGCCAATCCAACCAAACTATTTCTTGCTTTGTCACATCTTCTAAATAGTAGTTCGGAACAATTCCGCCGATGATTTCACTGAACACATCTTCCTTGGACGTAGCTGCTGTGTCCACGGCTGGCAAGAGAAGTGTGACCTTTGTGACTAAAAATGTTTGTCAAGGGCGCTAAGGCCCAAGGTAGATGTGACCTTTGTGACTCAAAATGTTTGGCAAGGGCGCTAAGGCCCAAGGTAGAGTAAAAAATGAAACTTACCACAGTGGACATCTAGCAAATAGGGTCTTTTCCCCGGTCTAATGCGTTTACGTCTGCGTCTCGCTGGTCCCTAAACTCTTTTTCTCGGCTGTCTACCGGACGGTAGACTCGTCTAGTAGCTCGGCAAAGATGGCTCTTATTTTCAGTGTTTTCAATGACCCCTTCAATTTTTCATTGAAAATTCACCCAGCATCTCTGCCTTAACCTTCAAGCTCAACAACCACATCTGGGTGGTTCCGAAATGTGACTCTAATCAATGGTTACCCCAGGTGCCACATCAATGGTTACCCCAGGTGCCACACCTTGTAACGAGTGCTCCATAAACCTGAGGGTCCATCTACCAAAATCCTACTAGGACAGGCGCGCTAGGAGTGGTTAATATCCCATTCCTAACTTAAGCTTTCTATGCGATCTCTACAGAAGAAACTCTCAAGTATTGATGGTTAGAGTGAACAGCGCCTTTTCCTCCTACCCGAATTGTCATAGCACTTGTGATGGCGGCCTCAGCTTTGCTTCATTCAGGTATTCCGTCCGAGTCTCCTTGAACCTCTCGTTGATGGCCTGCTCATAGTACTGGTATTGTTCATCACACTGCTCGTATTCGTGAAGATACGATGGCGACCCACGGCTCACAGAGACCTTTGGTTACGCACCTTAGCAAGAGCTGCTGTTGGTAAGATGGAAATCCGAAAGTTCCAGAAGGTTAGTAAAAAACCGAGGGTGCACTTAGGTACCATCTAGCAATTTTTCAGCACTTTCCAAATATCAGTGTAAGCTAAAATGCATTCAGGAATCATCGCGACAACGACGGCGGCCATTTGCTCGATTGAGAAGGGTTCGCTCCACCTATCTACCCGTGTTTGGCTCGCTCACATCGGTGGCTAATACGGCCAGTTCTCAGGTAATGAGCAATTTTTTTCACGGTCATTAGGCGCCCATTCCGCTAGGGGGGACATGCAAGTGTAAGTCATCTACAGTACTCGGGGATAGGCCTTAGGGCGGGGAAAGGATTCTGAGGGAAAGCGGGCAATTTTTGATCTCCCTGGCCTTTCTCCTTTCTCCTGGCCATAGTCCCAATGTCGACCACCATCGCGCTCCCTAGTGCACCGAATTTTGAATGCCCCCCAAGGCCATGAGCGACCCCTACAATCTGAAATGCGGCACTTTTTCACGACATTGTTCAAACGTATGTCACCGGCGATGTTTGTCGCGAGGCCACTTTCAAACAGTTGGTCGGGTGAACCGCGTGCTGCTCACGTCATCTCTGAATTTCGCATAACTTGCATGGCTTTTTTCGAGGGAGTCAGCATAACTGTCGGATGGTTAGACAAAGGGAGGGTGAGCCAAGTGAAAGGGGGGAGGACGTCTATGAAAGATTTAAGGGAAGGCAGCTAGTAGGTTACCCACCTCTGTGCCACCCGATGGCCCTTGCCCGTAAAGAGAACCACTTTTTGCGAGAAAGGTGTGAACCCCAGAAGGGGAGGCAAAGAAGCTTCATGTAGGAAAAGGAGATAGAAGGCATGAAGGTGCTGCAAAAATACGGTAATTTCCAGGTTTCCCCAGTGAGAACAATTTAACCAGATGTTTTTTGAGGCTTCGACAAAAAGGAGAGCCCAGTTCTGGATGCTACTAATTCCAGTGGTGTTTCAGGAGCGCTGTTCGATCTGCCTTGACGAATACGCCGAAGGTACAGAACTCCGTGTGCTGTTCTGCGGTCACGAGTTCCATCCAAAATGTGTCGACCCATGGCTGCTTTCCAATCGGCGCTGTCCGCTGTGCCAATTTGACGTCGTCTACAAGCAATACCCAAAAATGGAGCCCTTGACGAAGAATCGACAGTGAGTTCCTTAGGCTTCCTCTTCGCCTCTGCCCTGGACGAGTTTTCCGCTTCAGATCATCTTCGCCATCGTCCGACAGTTCCCCGTTGGAACCGCTGTTGCTGACCGTGCAAGAATCTCCACGAGCCACAAGGGATCCTACGTCCACGGGTCAGGCACGATCCTCCCAGGATCCTCTGCAGGCGGTCCGTGATACGGGTCGTGGTCGACGGGTCACTTCACGGGCTCGATCACTGCCTCGACGACGACCTCTGAGACCGAGGGAACACGTCGAGACCGCCGTCAGACTTGGAGGGTAAGTTCTAGACAAATCAAAACACTATCAGGGTCTCATCCAGTAAGGGGGGGGGGGAGGCATGCTGTATGACAGTTCATATGCATGAAGTAATCCACTTTTTTCAGGGGAGGGAAGCTCCGGGTGGGTGTAAAAGCTAAGCGAAATGGTTCACGCACCCCGGGGATTTCCTCCCCTTGCAAAAATTGGAATTTCTGTAGCCGGCAAGAACTGTCGCACCACATGCACCCCCTTACTGGATGAGACCCGTGATCGAATACAGGTAGCCGCTTTGGTATTCTAACCCCATTTGTTTCAGGTACTCCTCAGACGTCTCGTCGCGCTGACTGGTGCCTGCCGTGCCTTTCAATTGTCTCGCCCGTGTTTTCACTTTGGGAAACTCCACCCCTTCGTCATCAACACACTCACTTCCGGTTCTATTGATCAGTATTTTACAACGGGTTGCAGCACCTCTCAGATGATCCCCTGGGTAGCTCTTTCGTCTGTCTCCATCCTTTCCATGTCCGTGCTCAGGCTCCCCAGCTGATTCACGCTTTCGGCCGCGCGTTCCTCAGCACCGTGAAAGTAAGTCCATTAGCGAATATTTTAATTTCTGGTTGATCTGATATTCCACACTTCTTCATTAAAACTCCTTCGCACATCATACGCTTCCCACATTGAGTCTTTTCTCACTAGAACCAATCACAAAGCCTACTTCACGAAAATAAAAACCGCGAGGATAAGCATCATAGCGCGTCCTGTTTTTTTATTACTCGATTTTCCATGTTTTTTTGTGAGATTTTTAAAAAGGCAGAGGTTGGCCGAGAGCGTTCGCGGAACTGTCTCATATTGCGTACACTCTCCATTGGTGCGTGTGTTTGCCTTCAATGGGTAGAGGCGACAACGCTCCAATAGCAACTGTGGGCGTTACCAGACAGCCCCGCCCACACGCTCGGTATGACCTTCTGCCACATAGGCAATAGTACAACAACACATATGGTTTCTGTCTTCAGTCATTCGTTTGTATAGAATTTTCACATCGGTGGGTACGGTATCCGGCACGATTTTAGTGTATTCTGTACATAATACATAATTTACAGTATTCCGTTAATAAAATTCAACACTCAATCACTGGTTTATTGAATAAATATCTCTGGCCATATACAACAACGTATGGCTGCCATAAGACCGTAAGTATGAAGTACAAGCAATTTGAATGAGTAACGAGAAGTAAGTAGGTACAGATGTTATTTACACAGTACAATCAAGTTAATCAATGGGAGAAGGTCGATGCAAGCGACTGGTATGTTTTCGTAAACCAATTCGAGATGTCGTTCATGGTCTGAAAATGGAAATATTGAAAAAATCATCTTGATGGGGACTGGAGTTTGTTTCCAAGTCGCCAGTTGCGCGATATTTAGGACCTAAGGTTAAGATTAGGCCCAGTCTTGGGCCTGCTGGGCCCCTTCTGAGCTAATCAGAGGTGACTTGACCCAACTGGGAGGATCAATATACCCTGCACAAGGGAGAGCTGATGTAGTTGCAAGCGGCTCCACTACCACGCGCATAGTCTAGAGGTCAACCTCGATCCCGGTCTCACCCAGGTTAACCTTTTAGCCCCGCGAGATCGAATAGTTGTTGGAAGGTTCACATTGGAAGAAAGAAAAATACCAATTTGCGGAGTACAGCTGGTCCCAGTGAGCCCTTCTATAGGAAAAACAAAGATGTAGTTAAAGAAATGGATGAGGATAGAATGGTTCGTTTCGCCTCAACCTCAGACGAACCATTTTCTGTCGTCACACCCCAGAGGCTCCTCAGTGAGGTA